TCCCACGCCCAAACATACGCTAGGGCTCGTTATAGGTCGTTAGGATCGACTCGGCTCATTAACTAAACGAGCTTAAATTTAAGCTCGACTCAGATCGTTTAGCTTGTAAGCCAGCTCGGAGCTATTACAACTAATGCATAGATCATAGTTAACAAGCCAGCCCATGAGTAATTTATTCTTTGCATACATCACCACAAGTAAATAAATAAGTGTAATACATAGCAATACATCAATTCTAGACTTCAATCTCGTACCTATAACACAAAATTAAGCTTAATTATTGCTAGTTTAGGTTGTCGAACTACAAAGTATTTTGATTCGAGCTAGCTCATTAACATGAGGAGCTAAAATGGTAGCTCGACTCGTTAAGAAAAGTAAACGAGCCGGCTCGGTTGAGCCGAGTTAGCACCACGACTTTTTTCGTCCGGCAGAGTGTACGTATGCCTATATTTTCACGCGCGAGGAACCACTTGGACGCCATTTGGTGGAACGAGAAACATGAGATATTTTTGCCTCGTGATTTTTACTGGAGTAGTACTTTTAGCCCCTCGTGGCATTGCAACTTGTCATGTCGCTACATAGAGTACTCGTCGAGGCTAACAGGCTACGGCGGCCTACACGGGGATACCACGGTCCCAGTAGTATCCTACTGCAAGTCTGCAACGTTGACGTACTAGGCCCTAGCTAGTGATGATGTGAGATCAAGGATTCTGCTACAGGCTACAGCAACACATCGTCGGCATTCGTCCAGTAGTACTGTTTGGCACCTTTTGTTTTTAGAGCTCCCGACGGCTTCGGCGCTAACTCTTCTGTGTATTATATTGCAGTAAAAAGTTAATTTCCCTTTTTCTCTTCACTAGTTCACTGATATGAATTAGGAACCAGGACTTCACTAACTTCAACTCCGCATCCTGTAACAAGAGTCAGAGCGATTTGGAGCCATGCTAAATATAGGACCATACTAGTTGCATCTTTTATTGGGTCCATATATATATTGAAGTAAATCTCTCACTAAAAGGAATGCATGGGGCATGCACTTCACAATCTCAAGCTGATATGGTTATATCTATTGCCCAAGAGATAAAAGCATCAATTTCTTTTAGTCATTTTTTGAATCCTAGAACATTAAGGTTTTTTTTGGGGACGGAGGGGGAGTAGTGTTTAAGCCTAATAATCATTGTTCACTTTAAATAGCCTCAAAAAACACAAAGCTCATTGGCACTTTTTCACTAACACTAATCTCCTACATACATACACCGCAGAAGATGTTGATTTTCTTATAAAAATTATATATGTAACAATATTTTTAATAAAAATAAAGTGTTAATATAGGTAGGACATTCCTGTTATAAAAATGTATACCTTTATCTAAAGTAACTACTTAAATACATTATTCATGATATTAATATAATTTACAATAATTTGTTATTGTTATTGTTGTATGAGATATTTTTATGACTACTTATATATATATATATATATATATATATATATATATATATATATATATATATATATATATATATATATCGTGTATACATGTGTACTTGATCTAAGTGATAGCACAACATTTATGTTTAGTTTAAGTTATTTTTTATATCAATAGCAATATAATTTGAAAATTTTATAAATAAATAGGTGCAATTTATGATTATTTGGACATTCATTCCTCATATAGATGTGGATTTAAAGGGTATTTTATTTTAAATAACAATAAAAGCAGTAATTTAGACGCAAATTTAACAGTTATATATATATATATATTATCTATCATAGTGTCATGTGGGTAATTTACGCGCAAACTTAGGTCTACTTTAGATTATGTTTCATAACATATAGGTGGTAATCTATATAAAAAAAATTATTGGTTATTGTTTTCATAATATTAGAGGTGGGTCTTTTTTTTAGAAAACAGAATATTAATAGATCCAGTGACTAATCAATGATGATTATAGTCACTTAAGTGGTGACTAGACCTTTCTTGCTTTCATGAAAAGTTTTATGGTCTACTTTCTCTATTGTGAAGAAATAACATGGAGCTCCGTTAGGAGACCACCAATTGGTAATAGCAAGATAGTTAGCCTTCAAGACAACACAATGACACTATGTAAAAAATACTACTGCTCCTTTTTTTGTATTTTCTAATATATTCCTCCTAAAATAGGCGAATTGTCAAATAGGTGTACCGTTTCCTCGATTATGTCACATGTCAAATTGATGGGCAAAGAGATGGTATAGACAAGAAAAGGAAGAGTAGCAATCGTGTTCCTCGCATGCTTGCCCATGCATTAATTCTGAAGCCCAACATCCGTTTGCATGCGTATGCCTAGTTGCCTACCTCCTCTTGTGTTCCGTAGATATGTGGGCAATCAGACACGCACGCCCCTCAATCACCCTCGTAGAGCTGCTCTCACCAACTTGTCTTTCTGTTATTAAAAAAACCACTTGTCTTTCTCTATTGTTTTAGCCATTCAATTGGATTAAGGGTACTCACAACCTAGAACTACATGATTTGTATGTTAATTAATTAGGAATTCAACTAAACAAACTGATAATATAACATTATAGTTAAGAAAAAAAGAGATAAAGAGACGAGAAAATAGAAATAAGAAACTATAGATACACGGGAACAAAGGTACGACAAATGTACTAATATGTAGATAATCAGCCTGTTCGTTTCGGCTTATTCGTTCGTATCTGGCTTATAATCCACGGCTTAAATAGTGTTTTTTCTCTCACACTAAACCAGCCAGCAGTACTTTCAGCCATGGCTTATAAGCCAATTCAACCGAAACGAACAGGCTTAATATGTGGTTGGACAATTTTTTTTAAGATACCATCTATTGAGAATATGGTTTCTATGTATAATGTCTATATGACTAGACAAGTATTGGGACTGGTTTATACCCTCAGGGCACTCCCGATGATATGACTATAATAACCTCCATGCTATTTAATATAATACCACGTAAAACATTTCCTGATGCAGAAATAATATTAAAAAGGAGAGAGGAAAACTAAAAGAAATTAGGTCTACACAAAAAAGATCTTACACAGAAACCAAAGTTAAAAGAACTACATAAAATCCATTGGAATATCATCACAGATACATAAAAGATACATAAAAGACTACTGAGGAAGATGGTTAGAGAGAGAGGACAAAAATGATTAGAGGAGTTTATTTTGCACTCCATCTGTTCCAAATTATAAGACGTTTTGACTTTTCTAGATTTATTATTTTTGTTATGTACTTAGATATACACTATGTCTAGATACATAGTAAAAGAAACGTATCTAGAAAAAAACTAAAATGTCTTATCATTTAGAATAGAGAGGATAGCAATTAGACATTGTTAATTACGAGCTATAGGCTTTTAGATGGTGTCCATATAATATGGCATATTATTTGCCCTCATGCCTCATAGGACTCTTGCTCTTCCCCGTGCTGGGGTATTTTAATGCCCCACACTCTGATTTTTTTTTGCTTTTGGATTAAGTTCAACCAGTGCATGACGCCCTCACCTTAACCTCCCCCTCTTCCATGGCTTCCACCGCTAGAGCCACTATATTACAACAATTTTTTGACACATTAGGTTCCATTTGGTAGGTCACCGGCTCTAGCTCTTCATGTGAAGCAGCTTCTATGGTGGAGGTAGAACCGTTTTGAAAAACTTTTAGCAAAAAGGACTTCCGTGACAGTTTTGTAATAATTTATATTAAATTTGTAAGTTGGAACCAAGAAAAGTTATTTTTTTTGGTTCTGATTGCTCTTGCAAAAAATAGCTCTAGCTCCTGCGGGCTCCTTTCAAGAAGCATTTTTTTATTGACAGGACTCCTTGCAAAGAGACACAAGAGCCTTGCCAAAAAAGGCCTTAATCTCTTCCAAACACCCTATCTTGCTATACTCTGGAGATGTCCCTTTCCAAAACTCTAATTTCTAGACCTAACCGTTGCTAGTACTCTTTTGCAGGGTTTAAAGCAACTTCAATTTCACCTGCAAAAACACTACTCATATCACGGTTCACATGAACTCCTTTTATTTCTCTCATTCAAATAAACTAGGAGCCAATAAAGTTAGTTTTTTTTTGGTTTGTCAGCTTCGAATTTTAGCAATAACTGAAGCCGGTTGAAACCTTGCCAGAGTAGTGGAAACCCCATCTCAACGAAAAATGCAGCAAAAGGTTAGCAAGGTTTTCATGTTTTTCCCCTTTTCATCACAGAAAATACTTGGCGTATAATCTATGCGTATAGTTATAAAAAAAAAATCTATGCGTATAATTCCGATCAAATCTCAATAATACATCAGGTCTGGCGTGTGGCCCCATGCTGCAGGTCAAATCATTCCAGCCACTTCATTCGTTTTCGTTCCCACAAGTCACAACCATGGAGGGCCGACGACGAAGGCAGGAAGGATTCTGAATCCATCATCCATAAAAATGACGCCAACCACTCTCTTTCTACGAACTCCATCTCTCTCCTCTGCTCATGGATCTCCACCTCACCTCTCTCTCCTCGGCCTTGCTCTGCTCTACTGACTCCCCCAACTGCCAGCCGAAGCCTCTCTCTCTCTCCTCCTCTGTTTAGCGAGCTCAGCCGAGCAGCTCCGCCATTCCCCAAGCACAACAACTCCTTCCAGAGGCGGACGCAGTCGATGCCATTCAATGCCCTGACTGCCGGCTGCCCGGCCCATGCACTGAGACACAGGGCGCCTCTGCTGCTCCCTCTCTCTGAGACACGACGCAGTCACCGCCACCTCCTTTAACTCCCCTGCCTCGTCGCTTCCCGACGCTGACTCGCTCGGGAACCCGTGCGCCCATGCACGCACCCGCCGCATACGTGCGTCTCCCTACTTGCCCTTGCTGGCGTTCCAGCCCGCCAAGACCCCCTGCTCATGTACCCGCCACAATCTTGCACCTAGGAGGAGGCTACGAGCTCAAGAAACTCTTGGCTAGCTGTGGCGAGCGGCGAGCATTGAGTTGAGGGGCACCGAGAAGATGGCAATGGCGCGGCCGTTCTTGGCGCCGCTGTGGATACTGGCGCTGGTTCTTCTTTCATGCATGGCGGCGGCGGCGGACGACGGCGACGTGCTGCTGCTGGTGAAGAGCGCGTTCGTCGACGATCCCCAGGGGGTCTTGGCGGGCTGGAACGCCAGCGCCGGCGCGTCGGGGTTCTGTTCCTGGGCCGGCGTGGCGTGCGACGAGGCGGGGCTCAGGGTCGTGGGCCTCAACCTGTCTGGCGCCGGGCTGGCCGGGACAGTGCCCCGCGCGGTGGCGCGTCTCGACGCGCTGGAGGCGATCGACCTGTCGTCGAACGAGCTCACGGGACCCGTCTCGGCGGCGCTCGGCGGGCTGGCCAACCTCCAGGTGCTGCTGCTCTACTCCAACCAGCTCACGGGCCAGATACCGGCGTCGCTGGGGGCGCTCTCGGCGCTCCAGGTGCTCCGCTTGGGAGACAACCCGGGCCTGTCGGGCGCCATCCCGGACGCGCTTGGCAAGCTCGGCAACCTCACCGTGCTCGGCCTCGCCTCCTGCAACCTCACCGGCCCGATCCCGGCGAGCCTCGGGCGGCTCGGGGCGCTCACGGCGCTGAACCTGCAGCAGAACGCGCTGTCCGGGCCGATACCGCGTGGCCTCGCCGGCTTGGCGAGCCTCCAGGTGCTCTCGCTCGCCGGCAACCAGCTCACGGGCGCGATACCGCCGGTGCTCGGGAGGCTCGCGGGGCTCCAGAATCTCAACCTTGGGAATAACTCGCTGGTGGGCGCCATACCGCCGGGGCTCGGCGCGCTTGGCGAGCTCCAGTACCTCAACCTCATGAACAATCGCCTCTCCGGCCGCGTCCCGCGCACGCTCGCCGCGCTCTCCCATGTGCGCACGATCGACCTGTCCGGCAACATGCTCTCTGGCGCGCTGCCCGCCGAGCTCGGCCGCCTGCCGGAGCTTACTGTCTTGGTGCTATCCGACAACCAACTCACCGGCAGCGTCCCCGGCGACCTGTGCGGCGGCGATGAAGCGGAGTCTAGTAGCCTCGAGCACCTTATGCTCTCCACGAACAACTTCACCGGGGAGATACCGGAGGGGCTCTCGCGGTGCCGGGCGCTGACGCAGCTCGACCTGGCGAACAACAGCCTCTTCGGCGGTATCCCAGCCGCGCTCGGCAAGCTCGGCAACCTGACGGACCTGCTGCTCAACAACAACAGCCTCTCCGGCGAGCTGCCGCGAGAGCTCTTCAATCTCACCGAGCTCCAAACACTGGCATTGTATCACAACGAGCTCAGCGGTCGGCTGTCGGACGCCATCGGCCGCCTCGTGAACCTGGAGGTGCTGTACCTGTACGAGAACCTGTTCGCCGGCGAGATACCGGAGTCCATCGGGGACTGCGCGAGCTTGCAGCTGATCGATTTCTTCGGGAACCGGTTCAACGGGAGCATACCGACGTCCATGGGGAACCTGTCGCAGCTGATCTTCCTCGACTTCAGACAGAACGAGCTGTCTGGCGTGATCCCGTCGGAGCTGGGTGAGTGCCAGCAACTTGAAATCATTGATTTGGCCGACAATGCTCTGTCCGGGCCGATTCCCGAGACGTTCGGGAAGCTCCATTTTCTGGAGCAGTTCATGCTGTACAACAACTCGCTCTCCGGCGCCATCCCGGACGGCATGTTCGAGTGCCGGAACATCACGAGGGTCAACATCGCGCACAACCGGCTCAGTGGCAGCCTCCTACCGCTCTGCGGCACGGCGAGGCTGCTGTCGTTCGACGCGACCAACAACTCCTTCGACGGCGGGATCCCCGCACAGCTCGGCAGGTCGTCGTCGCTCCAGCGCGTGCGCCTGGGGAGCAACATGCTCTCCGGGCCCATCCCGCCATCGCTCGGCGGCATCGCCGCGCTGACGCTGCTGGACGTGTCAAGCAACGCGCTCACCGGCGGCATCCCCGCGACGCTTGCACAGTGCACGCAGCTCAGCCTCATCGTCCTCAGCCACAACCGCCTGTCAGGGGCGGTTCCGGACTGGCTGGGCTCGCTGCCGCAGCTCGGCGAGCTGTCACTCTCCAACAACGAGTTCGCCGGAGCAATCCCGGTGCAGCTCAGCAACTGCTCCAAGCTCCTGAAGCTGTCGCTCGACAACAACCAGATCAATGGAACAGTGCCGCCTGAACTCGGCAGGTTGGTGTCCCTCAACGTGCTGAACCTCGCGCACAACCAGCTCTCAGGTCTGATTCCGACGGCGGTTGCAAAATTGAGCAGTCTCTATGAGCTGAATCTGTCACAGAATTACCTGTCCGGCCCGATCCCTCCTGATATCGGTAAGCTACAAGAGCTGCAGAGCCTGCTAGACTTGAGCTGCAACAATCTCAGTGGCCACATCCCTGCGTCACTCGGTTCACTCTCCAAGCTTGAAGACCTTAACCTGTCCCACAATGCTCTGGTCGGCGCCGTTCCATCGCAGCTCGCTGGAATGAGTAGCTTGGTGCAGCTGGACCTGTCCAGCAACCAGCTGGAAGGGAAGCTGGGCACTGAGTTCGGCCGGTGGCCGCAGGCCGCGTTCTCCGACAATGCAGGGCTCTGCGGTAGCCCCTTGAGAGGTTGCGGCAGCAGAAACAGCCATTCGGCATTGCACGCGGCGACCATCGCGTTGGTGTCTGCGGCGGTCACGCTGTTGATTGTGCTCCTGACCATCATGCTTGCGCTGATGGCAGTGCGCCGCCGGGCCCGGGGAGGTGAGGTGAACTGCACGGCGTTCTCGTCGTCGAGCTCGGGCAGCGCAAACCGGCAACTCGTCGTCAAGGGCTCGGCGCGGCGGGAGTTCCGGTGGGAGGCGATCATGGAGGCCACCGCGAACCTGAGCGACCAGTTCGCCATCGGGTCCGGCGGGTCAGGCACGGTGTACAGGGCGGAGCTGTCCACTGGCGAGACGGTGGCCGTGAAGAGGATCGCGCACATGGACAGCGACAAGAGCTTCACGCGGGAGGTCAAGATCCTGGGCCGCGTCCGTCACCGGCACCTGGTCAAGCTGCTCGGCTTCGTCACGTCCCGCGAGTGTGGCGGCGGCGGCGGCATGCTCGTGTACGAGTACATGGAGAACGGCAGCCTCTACGACTGGCTGCACGGCAGCAGCGATGGCCGGAAGAAGCAGACGCTCAGCTGGGACGCGCGGCTCAAGGTCGCCGCCGGGCTGGCGCAGGGCGTGGAGTACCTCCACCACGACTGTGTGCCGCGGATCGTGCACCGGGACATCAAGTCCAGCAACGTGCTCCTCGACGGCGACATGGAGGCGCACCTCGGCGACTTTGGCCTCGCCAAGGCCGTCGCCGAGAACCGGCAGGCCGCCTTCGGCGAGGACTTCACCGAGTCAGCTTCCTGCTTCGCCGGATCATACGGGTACATCGCTCCAGGTAATTTCAACGGCAATCTGAAATGCTACAGAAACGCAAGGGTTCAGTTACTGACAGTGGAGTGCCACATTATCTCTGCAGAGTGTGCTTACTCCCTGAAGGCGACGGAGAGGAGCGACGTCTACAGCATGGGCATCGTGCTGATGGAGCTCGTTACCGGGCTATTGCCAACCGACAAGACCTTCGGCGGCGACATGGACATGGTGAGGTGGGTGCAGTCAAGGATGGACGCGCCGTTGCCGGCCCGGGAGCAGGTGTTCGATCCTGCTCTGAAGCCTCTGGCGCCGCGTGAGGAGTCGTCGATGACGGAGGTACTGGAGGTGGCGCTCCGGTGCACGAGGGAGGCGCCGGGGGAGAGGCCGACTGCGCGGCAGGTCTCCGATCTGCTGCTCCACGTTTCACTCGATTACTATCGCGCTTGCGAGAAGCGTTAGAATTTCGAAACTGGGATGAATTTGTCCTAGCAGCTGCTTTCTCTGAGTCCTTCTTCAGCTAGCCTATCTTTCATTCATGAAATTAGGGGGAAAAGAAGCTTATGGTTTTTAGGGTTTGCAAATTGAATCAAGTCAAGAGTGCCCTTCAAAATTGGATTGCTTAATTTCAAATTTTGAGGTCCCTTGTACAAGCATATGGAAATGTCCAGCAACGAGGCATACCAAAGCATCAATGGTTGAGATCCCTTTGCTACTCATTCCGCACATAGCTGAAACAGACGTGTAACAGTACTGCGATTGCGAAATGAGAGAGGCAGTACTAAAGTGCTCATCGGACGACATGATTGTAGTATCACTTTAAAATAGGAAACCTTGGCGAATACAGGCCTTGCAAATCATTATGTCCAATGAAAAAAAGAGCAATGAAAGTAATGTCACCAGACAGGAAGAAGAATGGAAGAGAAAAGTTTGCATTGCAAAAACACAATCATTATAATTGAGTAATTTTGCATGAGAATAAGCCCATAATTGGTGTCTTACATAGGTAATCCATCAGATCCATTGTGAAACGACATTTTCGGCTTGTTCGGCTTCTTTTTTCAATTCAGCCGGAACAGTGTTTTTCTCTCACAACAATTCAGCCGGAACAGTGTTTTTCAGCCAGTTTCAGCCAAGTTTCAGACCAGCGAACGGGGCATTTATTACAAGACCACAGTTGAAATGTGGAAGCTGAAACAACAACTAAGACGATGGGGGATCCTCGGGTCCTGACCATGTGTACTGACAACATGTTGCAAAAATACAGGTCGCTGGCAAACAAATCTGAACAGCTATTCATCATCATCTGCACAAAAGGTGGAATGGAAAAGTTGTTAGGCCCCATGACTTCCTAACAGAATGGTAAAAGACAGGCACCAAGCTGTTCCCAGGGCCTCTTATGTTTTTTATGTTAGTAAATAGTGGTCCAATGGTCAACTGCTTCCAGCCACTTTATAGATTCACAACTATAAATAGCATCATCCAAGTATAGGTTAGCCTCCACTCAAAAAAAAAAAAAAAGTATAGGTTAGCCATGCAACCACATTTTTGCAGCTCTTCACTTTCATCACCTTCTAACTGCAAATGGTAGTAAAACCTTCCAATTTGCAGCCATAACAAATTCCTACTTGGAAACTTTGTTCTGGTTTAACCTTCAATCTACAGCCAGACTTTGTTCCGTAGCCAAATATCAATTAGAGATATTAACTATTTGTTAAGTACTACAACTATCTAATATATGGTAAAGTTAGATCATGTAAGCCAACAGCTTACAGATATTAAGCAACATTATAACAAAATCAGACAAGCATTTAGTTCCACAATCTTTTTTTTTTCTGGATTATAACGGACTTCCCATCAGTAAAGTGAGAATGAAAAATGGTATGCTCTCTGTCATAATTAATGATTAACAAAGAAAATGCAAACGTTTTTGGGGTTTATAAGGGAGAATGTAAAAAAGGAGAAGAAGCAAAAGCCAACAAAATATTAATGAGCCAATGCAAAATGTGTGCAGATTCAAACAAGAATATGATATTAGGTTCAGACTTTGATCAACATAAGGCCTTTGAAAGGGACTGAAGTAATGTCACCTAATCCAAGTACTCTATTTAATAGAGATAGGGGCCAAAGGATGGAACTTGCAAGGTACCAATATGGCAGGACTAAAGATTAAATGTCCTCAGAAGAAAGTTTCTACATCGCCATAGCGAATATGAATGATTGGGGTTCTTGATGGTGTAGCCACTTAGCATGCTACTTGAGAACAACATTCACACTAATCATATTCCAAACAATCTTCAAAATACAGAACTTTGGAAACCACCTACAACAGTTTACTCTATTAGTTTGAAAGACATCTTATTCGAATCGGATACTGTGAAAAACACAGTAAAAACAAACAGGACTAAATTGCGACCCTAGCTTTTTTGTACTACAATTGCAAGGATGGATGTGGACATTCACATCACAAAAAAAAGGAAGTTAGGGAAAAATTTAATCATGTTCATAATTCATAGCTTCCATCAGGAAAATTCTTCAGCCATCCAATTTGACACAACAGTCAGCAGGGTAGCAGTTTGGGTCAAATAGCATAGCTCCATGTTTTGTATGGAAGTAAAGGAATCTAGTTTTCTTTTTATTCTTTTGGAGGGTCTTAAGCTCACCCTCTACCCCTGATATCATAAATGTAAGTTTTTCAAATGATTTGAAATTTGTATCTTTCCTCTGCTTCAAACAAAACTGAAAGGGGGGTTTGCCAATGTAGCTCGTGGGAGATGTGTTCCATTTCCATTTTATGCAAGATCCTGATACAGAAACTAAAGGATTTCCATGTCTGAGCAATTTGTGATACGGCAGCTTTGTTTAACACTTGGACAGTCAAATTATAGACTTTGTCGATCTCTTTATCTTTGCTGTCAGCAAGGCAGATTGAAACATAAAATTGCAGATAAAATTAGTGTACTCGAAGGAGTTCAAAAATCAAATGTGTGAATTTTTCCTCGAATATGGCATTAAGGATAAAAGGGTTTTAGAAACAACCCACACACAGACACTCTCCATTCTTCGAACACTGCTGGCAGTATGACAACTTATATGTTAAAATTGGATCAAAATGATACAACATCTGCTAACTCTTCTAGTAGCATTGCTGATGGAAGAGGCAATATGGCATATTATATGCGAGAACTACCGGCAACAATAGTATAATGAATTTGCAAACATAACATGCCAGAGCAAGTTAGCACTGTACCAATGTAGCGTTGCTCGTTGGCTAGCCTGGCGCGCTCAAGCATCTTGTCCAGGTCCTCCTTGAGCTTCTCGTCAAACTTTACCAGCTGGTTCACAAACACTGCACCGAGACCCATCCCCAACACATGCTCCCATGGATCTATAACAATTTAGACATAAGAAGCACATGAGAATGAATCGTCGTATCTAAAAGGAGACTGGTACAACGTAAATACTGAAATCATGAATAGTAAGGGGTAATGGGGAACAAAGGGGGGAATCTCTTCGACAGTATGGCCTCCTAAATCAAGGTGAAATGGTAAATTCGTAACAAAAAAGGCTGAACTTAAATCCCAAATTGCGTACTTTCTAAATCAAATCCTAATATTTCGCCGTACAAGGAGAACCCAACAACCGAGTCTGAATCTAGAGCCCACCACCCCCAAAATCAAGAACCATATCGCATCTAGGACTCCAAAGACCAAGGAAGGCGCCCAGACCAACCGAAACACCACGGGGGCAGGTGGAAATACCGCAGATCAGATGGAATCGGGCGCCAGGACGACTCATGGGGCGCGGGACGCAATGCGGAGACAGGTCAAGAAACGGAGAAATGAACAGGGGATAGGAGACAGGGACTTACGGCGCATGTAGGGGAGCTTGCGGAGGGCGTTGGAGTACATCTGGGTGCCCAACCCCAGGAGGGCGCCGATGATCGTCGGCGTCGCCGGCATCCTGCTGCTCTCCTGTCCTGTCGGGGCGAACGGCGCGGCTGCGGCTGGGGGAGTGGACGGCAAGGTCGGGGAGAGTGCTGTGGGACTTGTGGTGAGTTGTGACCGGAGAGGGCCTTTCCTACTACCTGTTGGACTTTGTTGCGTGGGCCGCCAGTTTGTGGGTCTAATGAGGGTGTGGCGGGATGCCGGAGAGCAAGAAGCCCATGGGCCTAAATATATGTTGCCCCAATTTGGCATTCAGAGCTTCATTTGGTTTGCAATTTCCTCGCCATCGTTTTTTAGTTTTTTTCCCTGAATAAACAGGAGTGTTGTGTTGTAATCCCTTCATAACAAAAAAAAAAATACAATTATGAGGTTCGTGTTAATCAAATTAGCTAAAGTTTAACTAAAATTATAATAAATAGTATTAACATTTATAGTAAAGTGCACGCCTAATCCTTAAACTCTTAGGACAAACTATCTAGGCCTCTAGTCTACTGCCCCCGCATGCAACCAGTCCAAAACGCGAGACGCCAGCACCAGCATCTCACATGGCCATGCCACAGTGGCAGCCGGACGCTGCCAACTTCTCAACAAACAAACACGATATATTGTGGGTACCAAGTAGCGTGTATATGTGGCTTAGGTGGGGACATTCGATGAACTTTCCATTTCGTGCCGGTAAAATGGAATCAATAAATTGTGACAGTTAGCGGCTTTAGGGGATTTGACACATTTTGATAGAGTCAAATAGTCAGCCATTCATGGATCCGTCCTATTCGCTTGACTTATAAGTCGTACTTTTTCAGCCAACGAACAGTATTTTTCTCTCACAATAAATCAGCCAACAAGACTTTCAGTCATAGTTTATCATCCAAATGAACAGGACAATACTTTGTGAGATTGGTGGTGGCATTATTGCCTTCACACCACATTTTACTACTTCTCATGCGTTGGTTGGTATGATGACTTCTGCTTTTGGTTCTCTGCTAAGAGAAGTGATTTTATCACCGAGACCAATTTTTTATGATTCTATAAGATACACTCTATAGCAAAAAATATGATTCTATGAGGAAGTGAATGAGAATAGTATTTTTTTTCATCTACCAGCCTCTTACACTACTAAAAAACATTTTCACCGTCAAATGGGAAACTCTCATCACAGTCGGTTTCACCCCTTGCTAGTGAAAGTGAATGGTGATATAGTCAGAGTTATCACGCTAATGTTTTTTTTTAATGGTCAGCTTTGGTGATGACCACACTGGCCCACTGGCCACTGGGCCCACCCCGTCGAAGCTTCGATCTACATGGTGTGTGCTCATGGCTGACGGCGCGCTGCCATTCATTTGCAGTGCCCGTCGAGGTAGCCCTCGTGCTCCTTGTCCTCCGCCTCCCATTGCCCATCGTGGGGCCTGTTGTCAAGCACACACACCATGGATCTGCTTATGCAGAGGGGGAGAAGGCTCACCTCGCTGTGGATCAGCCACTGGGGTGTCGATGCCTAGCTTCGGTCATGGTGGGTAGACCCGTGTTGAGGTGCCAAGGCCGCTCTCCCGGGGCTGCTGCGCTGGGGCTTTCCATGTGGGGCCAGGGAAGCTACTACTTGTTTCAAGAGAGAGAGGAAGAGATATGGAGGACTAAAGAAGCTGCACAGGTGTCATTCATGGGAGGAGTAAAACAGGAAGAGAGAGGAAAAAAGAGATGACAGTGGGAGAAAAAATAACGAAAATCTAGGGGTTAAAGTTTAGGGTGTCAAATCGAGTGTCACGTCGAATGTTTGGACAGTAATAATAAAATAAATTATACAAGTTCTCCGTAATCCACGAGACGAATTTAATAAGCCTAATTAATCCATTATTAACGCATGGTTACGGTAGCGCCTTATTATCAAATCATAGACTAATTAGGTTTAAAAAATTAGTTTCGCAAATTAGTCTTAATCTGTGCATTTAGTTTCGTAATTAGTCTATATTTAATACTTGATGTATATGCCCAAATATTCGATGTGACAGAGGCTAAAGTTTAGAAGGTGGAAATAAACAAGGCCAGGTGTCATTCATGAGAGGAGTAAAACAGGAAGAGAGAAAAAAAGAGCGGACAGTGGGAGAAAAAAAATAACGAGGAGAGAGTGGTCTAGCACGTGCACAACTCGCGGGCATGTGCATGACTGGGTGATTTTCACCATCAGTTTTATAACGGACCAACGGTGAAAATATCGTTAACAAAAACCATTTATGTAGTAGTGTTAGTTTATTTTAGAGACCCACTTAATAAATTTAATCTAAAACTAAAATCACTTCTCCAAGAGTTTTTTTTCCTGAAATCCACGGAGGAGCTTCTGTATGAGCTCTATCAAACATGCTAAGAATCACAGTGGTGACCAGTTGTGAACCATGTTGAACGGGAAGGTACGGTGATCTATCCATTAACTGACGGTAGGTTTCTTAGGGTAGAACATGCTCACTAAATTTAAATTCTTGACTTGACATAGGTGCTCGTATTTTTTTAAATTTATTACAGGATTTAACGTTACTATTCTTTTAATGATAGACGACATATACATGTGTTTATAGGGATGAGTGTATGCTCGTATATATAAATCTCTGTACTTGGTCTTGAAAAAAAAACAAGATGTGGTGGACCAATAAACATTTAAAGATTAAGTCCACTTTTAACCCCTCAACTATTGGGTTCAGTTAAATTTTGACTCTCAACTACAAAATCGTCTAATGCTGGTACTCCAACGGTCAAAACCGTTCATTTTTAGCACCTGGGCGTGGGTAAGACTGTTTTGTCCAACGTGGAGTTGTTTTGACCACGCCACGCTTGCGTTGACCGTCACGTAGGTCCCAACCTCCATCTCAGTGACATATGGGGCCCACGCGTCATCCAGTCAACCCTCCCTCTCCATCCTCACGGCCACTCCCCCGCCACCTCCTCTCTCCCGCGCGGTGGCGCGGGCGCTCCTCCCTCCGACTCGGCGGCGCTTGCGCGGACCCTCGCGCAGCAGGCGGTCCCGGCACGGCCCTGCCTCCCCGGTGCGAGCGTCTCCTCGACGCGGGCCAGCCTCCCAGCGTGGGCGCTCCCGGCACGAGTGCGGGCTGGCTTCTTCCCCACCTCAACGCCGGCCAGATCCGCAATGCCCTACTCCCTGGCATGTCGGATCCGCAGGCCCTACTCCCCGGTGACTCCCCTATCGGAGGCGACGGGGGAGTGCTGGCAGGACCAGCTAGCAGCGAAAGAGGCCGACCGGCGAGCAGAGCCAGGCCCACGTAGTCCTGGGGCCGGCCGCGGCTTGGCGGGAGGTGGGCCGTGGCCTGCTGGCTACTTGCACCGGCAGCCCAGCAGCCATGGCCGCGGTGGTGAGATTCCACAGTGGCGGGGAGGAGCCAAGGAGAGGCGCGCCGGGGAGAGGGGAACATGGAGGAGGGCGCGACTGGGGCGGAGGGGGCTCGGCTCGGGTCCGTGCGCAGGCAGCCATGGCAGCGGCGACGCCATGGCCGTGGTGCCGCAGCGGCGCAGCGAGCCGGCGATGAAACGCGCCGCGTGCAGGAGGGCTTCGCTTAACCGACGGTGGCGCTCGTTCGACTCGGTGAAGGGCGGAACAGCAGGAACGCGACGGCGACCGTGGCGGCCTGCGAGCACCGAACAACCATGGCAATGGCCATGGCGAGCTTGGCCGGGGCGCACGAGGCGGCGGGCGCGGCAAGCTTGGCTGGGGTGCATGGGGGAAGCGTGTTGTAGCCTGTTCGGGCGGCGGCGCTCCGCCGCCGCAACTTGCTCGAGCGCCGCCGCCGCCATTGCCTCCTTCACGCGCGTAGGACGGGAGGAAAGAGAGGGGCCAGCGTGGCATGGTTAACGCCAGCATGGCGTGGTCAAAAGGCTGCATGTTGGACAAAACAGCCTCACCCGCGCCGAGGGGCTATAAGTGAACGGTTTTGACAGTTGAGGTACCAGCATTAAACAGTTTTGTAGTTGAGGATCAAAATTAGATGAACCCAATAGTTAAAGGACCAAAAGTGGACTTAATCCAACATTTAAAGATGCTCGCTTTTTTCGATCTATATTCCAGAGACTCCACACATAGATCCTTGTGAGGAATTAATAAATGTACCAAAGAACTCCCTCCCGCGATCAATTGTTGCATATATTACACTTACATCCAATGAGAAAAACACCTACCGGGGTATATAGAGACTAGCTTGCAAGTTGCAACATACAGTACCTGGCTGCAGCTTCCACGGTATCTCGATCATGCGCCCCTTCAGTTATGTTTGAGTGTGATATGCTGCTGGTGTCGCACCCACAAGACGTGCGTGCGTCATGACACAGAGTGTGCACCTTTATTATACATATAAACCGGCTCGATGGAGACAAAACTGCAAATTGTGTAGGCCCCGGAGTTGCATGCTTGCAACAAGATGAGACGTTTTTAGTGACGACGATGGGGAGAAGAAATGGGTAACCCTTTTCTCCTTGCACCGGCGGCTTAAAGCACAAGATTTTCCTTTTGCCTTTGTTAATTAGCTAGGCTGGGACGGAAAGATAGGGCTGCTGGTGCAATAGGTTTCGTGTGCACACTATTGCAGGATCTCGAGAAAAGGAAGTCACGCACACTGAAAAGGTATTTGGAAAAAAGGAGGAACGGAGAGTGAGACCAGTTGGAGAACATCATCAGATAGTCGACATGCCAGGTAATTGGACCATGTCACTAGACAATGCAAGTCCTACTGTCGGGATGTTTAGTTTTCTTATTCTTAGTTTTAGGTCAAACACTCAAACCCTTGACGATTTGTTCCTGATTTATGCGGGAATCACTTTTATAGTAAAATATTAATATGCCTATCCTGCTATCCGCATACTATCTGAAAACAACTTGATAGTAGTGATGAGCAGCATCTTCAAAGACTGGGCCGACAAATCCTTTTGAAGGACAAAGTTACCATAGGTGCACTACTAGAGAACAAACTTTAGAACGATGTCCCAATTCGGCATTAGCCTCGGCATTTTTTTGCCGTCGG